CTATATCTTTAATTTATAGCCATCTAGAAAGTTCAAAGAAATAATTTAAATTGAAGATTTTAAAATAGAACAAGATTTTTGTAATTTCACCAAGAACTTGAGAGTATGGGGATTTGTTCACACCATAGCGAACAGCGCTATCGATCTTCTGCGAAATTTGAACTGCACACGCGCAGATCGGTAGTCCTGTCTGATACACAGTGCACAAATTCCGTATTGTATGAATCTTCTTAAGCGTGAAACAATACACAGAATGAAATGGTTCTCATCACAAGTAGAAATTTCAAAGGACCAAATATCAAATATCAGATCTTTATCAGAATCAGATATCAAAAATTTCTAATGACAAAATACCAAATATCAGATCTGTGCAAGCACAGATGCACTAAATGATGCGAAATTTGAATTGCACATGTGCAGATCGGTAGTCCTGTCTGATACACAGTGCACAAATTCCATATTATATGAATCTTCTTAAGCATGAAACAATACACAGAATGAAATGGTTCTCATCATGAGTAGAAATTTCAAATGACCAAATATCAAGAATTTAATTTTTATTGGCCATAGGTAAAGAATAAGCACATCAAACTTAAAACAAGTCTTTAAAGACATTAGCAGAAAGAACTATAACAGACAAGGAGGTAATAATAACGATCAGGAAAAGTGATATTAACCAAAAATAAAAATCTACATAAAAATGAAAATAGTTAATTGTTCCACACTTGCAAAAAATGAACTCTTAATAAAAGAATGCTACACCAATGTCAGACTAGATGTCAAATTCAATTTGAAGTTTCATGGTAAATGTGTTTAGAAATGTGCTAAAAGTCTAAGAACAAGATAGAAAATTATTATTTACAAAAATGGCTATCTCAAATTCATGTTCACACAGATTTTCTCTTAAACTTTACTTAAGTAATGGAGTGTCCTTTCAAGTGTTTAAAATAATTGATTATTACGGTACTTAATTGTGGCTATATCTTCACTACTAAGTTCCTAATTCTACAATGGTGTAATGCTGTTCACCTTGCACAATTCGTTAAATAAATGCTATATTTGAAAACTTGGAAATTCCTTCCAACACAAAAAGGTAACAACACGTGTTCATATAGGCACAGCACATTTAATTTGGTACCAAACATGAAAAGACACAAGGGATGAAGTTCAAGTAAACTTAAATGCTTCCAATAGTTTTCATTGATTCCACTTCAGATAAAACATTTTAAATTTATACGTAAATTGAATTTCTATTTTCTTTTCCATTAATTTCTGCTTGGCCCAAGGGCCTTGCTCAGGTGCATAATGATCAGGGGGGTTGAAGAATTGTCATGGTACTTTCTGCGTTAGTCTATTGTGGTGAGGATGATGTTTACAGATTTTGAAATGGATGTCTGAGGGAATCTGAGGAATTTTAGGATCAAAGCGAGTGGATAGGAGGGAGAAATGGATGGAGATCGGACTGATGCCGGGTTTGTTATGAAACTGGGAGTTAGGTACAAACCAGGGATCGTTTGTAATGGTTCAGAGGAATTTATTTTCAAAATCTGCCGTTTTTGGATATATGATTTGCTGGCTGAGGCCTAGATAGAAGTGTAGGATAAGATTGGATGAATCATTGATCGGTATTGATGAGAAGTTATATGTTGAAGTTGCAGGGGAGAAGACTTTTTGAGTATGAGATGTAGTAGGTGGGTTCTACAGCTGGTCAGAGTTATTCTGTGAAGAATATTTGATTTCCAAGTGATCTTCCTATCCATATCAAATTTAATATTCTTGAATAATTTGCAACTTCATTATCAAGAATAACATCACAAACAAAAGCAGCATTACATAAAAAAGCAAATACATAAAAAATTCTGATAGTTTATTATTATAATTTGGTATGTCGAATCTGCAATCTCAAATAGGGTTACTGTAATCTAGCTAATTTCAAATCACTTCCTTCCTTAATACAAATTAATAAGCAAGAAGGTAATAACCAGGGGGTGGGTTTAAACAAAATGACGTGTGTGTGTGTGTGTTTTTTTTTTCTTTTTTTTTTTACTTAGAATGCCTTTTAGCATAGAAATTCATTTTATATTATGACAAAATGAAATGACCCATTTTTATTCTGCCTTTTTTTTTTCTTCCCCTTACTTTCTTTGTATTTCTATGATTTCTACTAATAAGTCGTTTTTAAACATTTTATGTCATATAATGCATTTTTGGCTGATTTCATTTATTTTAATGGTATTCGCTTCACACAATATTTACAAGGTGTAACAAATGTTCACCACAGAATTCCTGAGTAGCCTATTTGATTTCTTCCCTCATATATTGTAATGCCAGCCGTTGTGAGTACTATATAATCTAAGGTTCCTGTGATGCCTATCTCCGCCATTGTCAGTTGGACTGATTTCTCGATAAAGAGATTTTCTAGTAAAGAACATTCCAAACCAAAAGATAGCAAGCTGAGGTCTCTTGAACAAAAGGAAGAAGCCTCGATTACATCAGTAACATACCCAACAGTTCTTCATCTGAAGTGATTTTAATAAAATTTTTTACATATTTTTGTTTTGATGGCATTTTTAAAGCATTTTAAGATCATTTTTTGCAATATTTCAGGTTATCCAAATCCACCCCTGGTAATAATTATTGCACTTGACTCAAACAACTTTTTATAGCACTCTTCTTATAATAGAAGTACAAACTTTCATTTCAAATTACTTTTGATCTTTGATATACATTAATAAGATAACAATTACTAAATCTTTAATTCAAAGAATTGTACATCAGAAGAAATAACTTTAATTCCACATATTCTCTTAATATAAAGTTGCTATTTGCACTTATGTGACTCATTCACAATACTACACAATTTTAAGAAATTATTTTAAATTTCTGTTGAATTATGTTGTGAGTGTATAACAGTTTTTTCTTTTAAGAATAAACATAATTTACATAGCAATAATACAGAGCCAGAAAATCAGCTGTCATTTGCTAATAAACCAGACTCCACCAGTATCTTTTAGTAAATGGTTTTTTGAAACTAGCACATTACAGTTGCATATTGATAATAAAAATAAGAAAAAAGAACAATAAAAGATAAATCATGAATATTATTTTATTAACTGTAATCACAGATACATTAACACAGTCTTATAACACAAGAAAGGCATACAGTATTTTACTGGATTTCATGAGAAATGTTCTCCATAAGATCTGTCTTATGATCTGAAACATTTGGTCTGGCTTCATAGGTACAAATTGTCACACCGTGTCGATGGCCTTCTGTAAACTCACCCCGTAGTCCAATGTAATATATTTTTGTTGTCTCTCCACCGAAGTTTTTAGGAAAATGGAGAGTTAAATGTGTTACAGATGAAAATTTCACAACTCTGAAAAACAATTTTTTTTACATTTTCCTAAGAAGACAACCAATTCAAATGGAATACATGCAAGAATTGAAGTAAACTGAAATGTAAATATTTAAGTTCTTAGCAAAGAACTATAGAAAGCAAGCACTATAACATGACAGCCATCAGATCACAAGATGATCTTACTTTGTGGCATACTCCAAGGTGCCATTGTTATCAGGATGAAGATCAAATTCTTGATCAGGAGCTATAGAAGTATCATCAAATGTCATATGAGGCCTATTTTTATACCTGAGACAGAAATATGTAACTGAAAAAGGAAATATCTAAAAGAAATTTGAACTTCTAAAAGTTAAAAATTAATATACATACAACTTCATTTTTGAAGGATGCAGATCCATCTCCCCTCCAATAATAATTAAACCTTTTAATTTGACATTTCCAGTAAACCTGAAACCACATTTGCTGGTGCATTTAGACCAACTATATTACAACAGTCTACAGACAACAGTACGTAAACACACTTACGGTATATTAAACAATAATTCTTCATCAACATCACTTTCCACATACTGCAAAAATGATAAAAATTATAACCACTCGTGTGCTAAAACAAAAACCTTCATATCACTTACTAGCTGTACACACCTTTTCAAAATTGAGGCGTTCTTCCCATGCTTTAAAAACATCTTTCCCTGAACCTTCAACCCTCTCATTCAAACATTCCAAATTTCCTGTGTCTATTTTGTTGTACAGACTATACTGCAAACCCATTTCTGGAGTGTCATCATGATCGTGATCGCCTTGGCATGTATGCTTGTGACCAGACATATTGATCGTATATTTATTAGTTATTGAAATGTAATGTTCACCTTCCTCCACACAAATGGATGTTTGTAAATAAATAAACACAACTCAGGAGTATACGCTGACCTGCAGCTAGTACTTTCCCATTCGTATGAATTCCTCTTATTTGGTCCACAAATTCCATATTCATCTGTCATTTTCACAATTCTGCCAACGTGTGCCTGAGAAATATCTTTCTCTTCTGGATCCAAAATGATTCAATGAAAGTTTGCAAACTCTCTCATTCCCACCGAATCATGTACGAACAGCACAGGACACCCACACCTTTGTCTATGAAGAACACATACCATAAACGTACTAAGATCCCGAACGTAGTGATGTAACACAATGCCAGAATTTTGACACGGTTGCTTGTGGTTGACAGTGGTTGTCGTGGCAGCATGTGGAAGTGTATTGCGGGGAACTTTCATCGTTCAAAGAAGACCCATACAAATACTACAGTGAAAACTGGAACTATGGAAATATACTTTAAAATACGATTAGGAGTATGTATTCTTCGATGTTACTACTTCTACGGTGGAGTTAATAACTATTAACGAAGCTACACTAGCGACATTTCTCGCATCGTGTCCCTGATTGATAGGCAAATTACACTACACTGGTGTTTGGCAGGTACACGAACAGCCCGGATTTAGGAAATGCGAAGTCCTTATTGACCTGCGAAGTATTGTAATCGTGCGCCGGGAAGCGGCGGTATTTCGACAGACAAAATCTTCTTATCGAGCCCTAGTAACGAAAAAGTGAACGAATCTTGTTCTTATACATAATAAAATACTTTTTTTAACACGTTGTGAAGGCAGAATCCATGAATTGTTGGTTATTGATACAGAAAACTAGACTGACTTCAAAACGTCTGTCTACAGTCCATCAGTCCGATTCTACTTTAAACAAAGAATGTTTTAAAAAAAAGCTCTTTAAAAAAGATTATGTACAATTTTTTGAAAGAAAAAAAGAGCAGTATTTGTGTAATTCGTGATTAAAGTTAATGCCATTTATAAAAAGAAAATTTCTCAAAATCGCTCCAAATTTTTCTTGATCCCCCCCCCCTACGGACAGAAAGAACAAGGAACGCCCAAAAGAATGGCGCGGGTCTTATTTTCGTTGAACTCTTTGAATTATTGAAAATTGCAAATATGGAAATAATGCGAGAAAGTATGAGCTGCTTTAGCAACACTAGTTTCCCAAAGTTTTCCCCTCAAATGGAGTAAAATTCACTAGTGTGACACGACTTAATTTTGTTAATATTTTTGAAATTTTAAAAATGATTTAACTTCTTTTTAGTTTTGTTTTATATAATTTGTAATGAAGGTACATATTACTTCGTCAATCCAAATTATTCCCCAATAATAGGTTAAATCATTGAATGCAGGCATTTTTGAAAACGTACGTGATTTTTGCCGTTATTGTCACAATGGCTCAAACTGTAGCGCGTGATCTTTTCGCCCTTAGCTCTCGGGTTCCAATCCGAAATATTGTTTAAATTGATTTGATTGATTAGTGATTCCGAGCGCGCCAACTGCTAAGTTCATTAGTCGCGTATAGTGCATGTGTTTTCCTCGAGAGGTGGTGGTGGTGTTCCCCCGGTGGCTGGTTCTCCCAACCAGGTATCTCTCAAGAGAGGGGCACCGCCCCAGCCGGGACCATCTGTAAACTCCCGACTGGTCTCCCGGCAAGTGTGGTAATGTATTGCAGGTTAGTGTAAGTGTGTAAGCAGTAAGAATAGAACAAAGAAGAGGAGGAAAAGATCGCGCGCGGTCCGTCGCCCGTTTGTTGCGGTACTCCGGCATTCGCCTGGTCTTGATCGCAGATACCACGGAAAACTGCCAATCAGAGCAGCCGGCCGGTAGAATTCTCCTCCGGACAGTGACTGAATTCGATCTAGCTAACAAGAAAGTATTGAAAATCCAGACACAGTCGGGACTCAAACCTAGGACCTCTCGGTCAGAGACACTAGTGAAATCAGTTGATGCCCTGAGCCACTTCTCCCGGATTATTGTGTAAAAACCTAATTAAGAACAATACACTCAATGCAACGGCAATGAGCCATTTTCGTTTAAACTTTTGGAATTTCAAAACAATAAAATGTATTTTTTAATCTTTGAGGACCGTTTGGTAAGGAGTTTTTGAAATGATGTCCGAAGTATTGGTAGGATAGAAATTGTGATGTTATAGCATTACACAACCGTTATCAATAGTAAGAGGAGGTCTGTGCTGTTGTAGCATCACTGGTTTGTCTTTATTCTTCAAGTTTGACCGCGCCAAACATTACTCCCCCCCCCCATTAAGAAAAGTGTTTCGGGAAATTAGCCAAAACTTCCGAAAACGACTTCCGAAAACGTATAACGCAAATATTTAGAGAACTTTTCAATTAATACGATGGTTCAGTTTTCTTTCCAGAACTATTTACATTTCATATATTTTATACATAACTTGTGGATACAGAAACCAAATGCTGCTGAACAAAGCCACCCAAAATGATTTTTCAAGAAGTAGCACGCATTGTGATGACTCTAAATGGCCACTTGAAGAACAGACCACACGAACATTGATTTTTCAAGTGAATATTTTACAAAAATTATACATGGCTCAAATGTTTATATAAGAAATGAGATGAGTGACTTGAAAAAAGAAGAGAGGGCCCCCTACACTCCCGAGTGAAAATTGTAGAGCTCTATTAGAAAGTTTTCGACTTTATTTGTCGTATTTGAGAACGAGCCAAAATCCTGTCTCTCCATCTTGAAAGTTCGACATCGCATATTTTCTCTTAAATGATTCGGAAGACTTATGGCTTACTAAACGACTGTACTTTCAAACATGAACTAAATAATCCCTATACAATTAATTGTTCGAAATAAATAAGGAAATACATTTTATCCAGTGTTATCATCTAAGATGAAAAACAAATCAGTAAATTAAAAAAAATATCATAAACATTATATTACAATTATTAAAAAAGAGCAGAATTTATGAAGTGAAACAATACTTTTTTTAACAAAATGGTGCAAGAATATTTCCATTTTAAGGATAATTAGGAAAACTCTTTATTCATCGCTGATGAGATAGGCCGAATCTTCAGCCTCGCAAGTGCAACACGGGGATAAAAAGAAGACTTTAGGTCCGCAACTGCCCGACTCATTTTCGTAGGGCGCTTCCTCTCCTGCTCAGCTGAGCCGCCCACGGCGTACGAGTCACGGCGAGCTATCGATCGGCAGCGGCCGGGCGGCGCGCGCCGGGCGCAGGCTCGGCCGCCTTCAGTCGATAACGCGCCTCGCCGCGCCGCGCCGCGACCAGACGCACCCCATGCCTCCCTCCGCGCGTTCGCACGGCGCGCCGGGCGCCGGCCGGCCGCGCGCCGGGCCGGCTATTTTTACCTGAGACGCGCGTACGACCGCGTCACGCCCGACTCGCCTATCGCCCGCGTCGCCCCCCCCGCCCGCCGGCGCCGATCTAATCGCGTGATAGGGCGCGCGCCTGGAGCGATCCCGCCCGCGCCTCCATGACGCGCCGCCCACTGTTAAGGCAGGAAGACGCAGCGATCGAATCGTGGAGTCGGGCCCTGGCCGGGAGGCGGGCGAGGGCGGAGCGCGGGCGCGCTACGGCGGCCGTGTACCCTCGCAGGGCATGGGGTCGAGCGCGCCGCTGCGCCACGGCTGCGAGGACAACTGGACGTGGAACCGGCGCGACCGCAGCCCCGAGGTGCGGCTGTACGGCCCCAGCTGGCGCGTGGCGCACTTCCACCCCACGTGGAGCAGCGGCACAGCCGCCGTGCGCGGCACGCGCGTGCTCAACAACGGCCGCTACTACTGGGAGCTGCGCGTTTCGCAGCGCGTGTTCGGCACGTCCATGATGTTCGGCGTGGGCACGCGGCGCGCGCGCCTGCACGTCGACGCCTTCCTCAACCTGCTGGGCGAGGACGAGCACAGCTGGGGCCTCTCGCACAAGGGGCTGCTGTGGCACGCGGGCCGCTGGACGCACTACACCAAGCCCTTCCGGGAGAACGAGGCCACCACGGTGCGAGCGCGCCTTTTCTTTTTAGAGCTTTTCATTTCCTTGTGCCGAAAACGGTTAAACACTCTCTGTGACGTGCTATGGGGAGAGGTTAATTTGAAGCTACAATTATGTCAACAAGCAAAACAGGGGGCCATCTCAGCATTTGCTGGAGGATAAGGAAAACTGGACGAAAACCTGATCGAGATGGGGGTCATTGACCCAGAAGGTGAAGTGTAATGTTAGCAAACATCGATGTTGAAAAATAATACATCGACTAAAAACCATCGATGTTTTTCAGCATCCTTGTTTGCAAGCTAACTCTAACATTACATTCGTGTGTAACAAAATTAAATTTGTCAGTTTTCGTGTTTATCAAGTCACCAAATAACGGTATGACAAGAAGGGGCGGACCCTACAGCCCACAGCTAATTTGTTGACCACATCTCCATATGCGAAATGAATTTAACGAAAGATGAAATTCAAGGGCATGGAGGTCATATCGGGCGAGAGAGTTTGGTCAAAGAAGGTAGTACAATACAACCAGTATTCTTTTGCTTCCAACACATGAACTAACAATGTTATCATCAGTGATATTTCATATTTACCTTTCACAATATTGTGACCAAGGGAATTTTTCGTTCAGAGACAAAACATCGGGGGAGAAAATTCGATCACAAAACATCGATGTTAATAACAGCGGTGTTAATACATCAACATTTTGCCAAAAAAATCACATACATTACAATGCAATTCAACATTTACATATATTACAACAAAACAAATACATTTTACAAAAAACATGGCTGTTTTGAAAACATCGACGTCGATGTCGCATCCCTACTCTACGCGGATTTGCTGCAGCGGCTAGTGGTCGTAGGACGCGCCCGGCTCATTGCTCCATGCTTATGCTTCGATTCCGACGAAGGCTTCAGGGTTCCAGTCTATGTTCGACCTGAGAGGAGTTCCTTCCTAGGCAGCGTTACCATCCAAACTGTTTATTAACACTCCGCCCACTCCCAAACATATCTTTCACCCTTCCTTTATTACTTTGTGAAATAACTTCAAGACCTTATCTTCAAGATTGATTAGTAACACGAAGAGTTTGATTTCTGACTGACATGAATAACGAATTAAGAAACGTTCTTGAGGAATAAAACTAAATATACTTCTTGTTCATTGTTCGTTGCAATATGTAAAATAGGCAATTATAGGACATACTAAAATACTGACCTATTCGTGCCGAACATAATTTTAAATCAGAAATTTATAGAATAGTTTTGTGAAAATATTCTTCATACAATAAAATAGTCATCAGAACAGAATTCGTTACAATTCCTCCTTCCTGTTTGTGTGTTCAACCCCAGGTAACGCCTCGCAAATGAGTCACGGCTCGCTGAAGTTACGGCGGAATTTGTCTTCTTAGTGATATCTGAGAAGCCTTCATGATACTGTTGTTCAGAACAGTCTCCTTTCTTCAAAGATAGTTTTCTCGATGAATTCGATCGAAGAATAATTATAATAATAATAATGTAAATACAACCAAGCACTTGAAGTTTTAGTTATTTTAATTTCGCGCAGTGTATGCAACACAAAGATACGATTTTTTATCAATACATTGTCGTCAATGCTAAATAGATCAAGAGTCG